TCTGAGGAAGGGTCACCGGACCCGAAACGTTAACTCTGTTTTCTCCTTCACAGATGCTGCCAGACCTGCTGAGCTTTTCCAGCAACTTTGTTCTTGTACAAATTCTCTGTCATTGGGTTTGAAATGAAACAGAGTGATATTGAGCAACTGTAACGTACATAGGAGAGAAACGTACTGAAAGTTTAGAAGGACAATTTTCAAAAAGCAAGAAGGACGGTATGGTGTATCAATTGTTGATTCTTGGGATATCCTTTCACCATTTCGAGAATAGGGGTGCATATTTCAAGTACAGGTATTTTTCACTTCAACTGTATCTGGGTAGGATTGGGAAAATTGTAAGTCTTCCTATCTCCAACCCATACCTTGTGTAACCTGGGGGGAAAAAAAACTATCCAGACTAGACCACCTGAGCTCAAAGCATGGCCAAACGTTTCAAGATAGCCTATCAATTTTCACCACAACAATTAACTACCACGAGAGATAGTAGGAACTGCCGATGCTGGAGTCTGAGATAACAAGGTGTGGAGCTGGATGAATACAGCAGGCCAGGCAGCATCAGAGGAGCAGGAAAGCTGACATTTTGGGTCTGGACCCTTCTTCAGAAATGGGGGAGGGGAAGGGGACTCTGAAATAAATAGAGAGAAGGGGAGGCGATGATAGAAGGTGGATAGAGGAGCAGATAGGTGGAGAGAAGACGGACAGGTCAAGGAGGCGGGGATGAAGCCAGCACAAGTGAGTGTAAGTAGGGAGTTGGTGGGATAGGGATTGGTCAGTGAGGCGGGAGGGGCAGGTAGGTGGGAGAGAAGACGGACAGGTCAAGGAGGCGGGGATGAGGCTAGTAGGTAGGGGGTGGGGTTGGTCAGTGAGATGGGAGGAGCGGATAGGTGGGAGAAAAGACGGACAGGTCAAGGAGGCGAGGACGAGAGAGAGGAGCTCATCTTGGGATGAGGTTGGGGGTGGGGAGATTTTGAAGCATATAAAGTCCACATTGAGACCATTGGGCTGCAGGCTTCCCAGGCGGAATATGAGGTGCTGTTCCTCCAGCCTTCGGGTGGCATCAATGATGCTGGAGGAACAGCACCTCAAAGCCTACTTACGCGCCTCATCCCTGCCTCCTTGACCTGTCCGAATACAACAGACCACATTAGCGGATGTGCAGGTGAACATCTGTCTGATGTGGAAGGTTTTTTTGGGGCCTGGGATGGAGGTGAGGGGGGAGGTGTAGGGGCAGGTGTAGTACCTCCTGCGGTTGCAGGGAAAGGTGCTGGGAGTGGTGGGGCTAGTGGGGAATGTGGAGCGCATGAGGGAGTTGTGAAGAGACTGATCTGTCTGGTAGGCAGATATGGGTGGGGAGGGAAATATATCCTTAGTAATGGGATCAGATTGCAGGTGGTGGAAGTGGCAGAGAATGATGTGTTGAATCCAGAGATTAATGGGGTGATACGTGAGGACAAGGGGAATTCTGTCTTTATTTTTATTGCGGGGAGGGGGTGTGAGGGCAGAGGTGCGGGATACACGAGATGCGGTCGAGGGCATTTTCGACCTCTAGAGGGGGGAAGTTGCGGTCCTCCCACCTCGCTGACCAATCCCACCACTACCTACATGCACTCACCTATTGCCATCTCACCTACCTCCCCCAGCCCCTCTTATCCCCGCCTCCCTGACCTGTCCGTCTTCTCTCCCACCTATCCGCTCCTCCCACCTCACCGACTAATCCCACCACTACCTACGTGCACTCACCTTTACTAGCCTCAAAATCTCCCCACCCCCGGCCTCGTCCCAAGACCAACCCTCCCTCTTATCCCCACCTCCCTGACTTGTCCGTCTTCTCTCCCACCTATCTGCTCCTCCCACCTCACTGACCAATTCCCACCACTACCTACCTGCTATCACCACCTCAACTACCTTTCCCACCCCAACCTCCCCCCTCCTCTATTTATTTCAGAGCCCCCTTTCCCTCCTCCATTTCTGAAGAATGGCCCCGACCCGAGATGTCAGCTTTCCTGCTCCTCTGAAGCTGCCTGGCCTGCTGTGTTCCTCCAGCTCCACACTGTTAATACAAGTATGTCCCTCCTTAAAGGTGACCAGAACTGTGCACAATTTTTGGTGTGATCTTACCAGTGCCCTGTGAAATTGTAGCAAAGCCTCTTTGTTTATGTTCTTGGTTCCCATTGCAATAAAGGCCAATATTGTACTTGCTTTGAGTCCTTGCTGTAGTTGCATGCTTACCTTTTATGATTATAAGCACATCCACATCTCTCTATACCACAGCATTCTGCTGCGACTTTGGAAGATGAATGGCTTTTATTTAACACAAGTAATCAAAAAGTCACTGTACCAATAGCCATAGAAAGATGCGATAAACGCTGAAAATATGTTATTAGATTTTGGAGACAAGTTGTAATATGGAACAAAAATGGATTTCTATTTTTCAGTTCTGTGATATGAACAATGTTTTATTAGTATATAACAATGTCATAAAGTCATTTTGAACAGTGAGCTAAACAAACCATTTCCAAGAATTCATTTGAATTTACTTTGCCTGTCATTTAGCTATGTTACCTGTTCCAAAACACACTGGGAGATAATTACTGCCATGTTTTCAGACTTGAGTTTTATAATACACAGAGAAAGGGATCTGACTTGTTTGGTGTTGCCATCAGCTGGGATCATGAAACATTTGTGCTTTTGTTTTCAGGATTGGAGTCTTCAGTACAAGAAAGCTAATGGGTCATCTGAGAAGAACAAGAAAAAGTTAAGTGCAGGAAGTGAAAGCCGAGTTACAAACGACATCTCTCCTGAATCTTCTCCAGGGGTTGGTCGACGAAGAGCTAAAACCCCCAAGAGTTATCCTCCTACAAAGCATGCATCTCGTTTCTGTGTTCCAGACTCGGCAGAGCTTGAGAGGCTGAAACAGCGTATAAATTTCAGTGATTTGGACGAGGTGCGTTAACAGATTAAATTTTGCCTCAGAGATATCTTAATCTGCATTTTCAGTAACCTTTTTGAAAATATTTGGTAAATTCATATTTTCAGATCGAAATTTAGGAGAAAATGTTCAAATTAGCAAATATGCTCGATGGGAGTTTGTGGGTGGAATGAGAATGTCCATCCCTTTGTTCAAAAATAGAAATTTCACTGCCCAAATGCCAGTTAAGTCTTTAAGTGCTCACCTTCTCAAAGAAAGTTAGAGGTAATGCAGCGACCACAACACTGAGTTTGTAGAAATTACTTAAACTGAATAAATCATATGTTTGGTTAATCTGCTAGCCAACATCTCCCTTTTGAAGGGGCTTTGGGAACATAACCTGTCGTATCTAAATGCACCAGGCACAGCTGAAGTAGTATCATTTGTCACCTTTTATGGGTACTATATAGGTTCCTTATAGGTTGAGCAAATTAGAAATGTAGAGAATTGTATCACACTGTGATTTGTGCTTCGTAAAAGGTGGAAAGGCTTTGACGAGTCAGGAATTGAGTTATATGTCATTGAATTCCCAGCCTCTGACCTGTTTTTGCAGCCACAGGCTTTGATATGGCTCATCCAGTTCAGTTTCTGGTAAATAGTAGGCCCCAGGATGATGATGATGGGAGAATTCAGTGATTGTAAAGCTATTGAATCTCTCAAGGGGAGATGATTTGAATTTTGATTGTTGCTGCTTGTCATCGTCTGTCGTTTGTCTGACAGGAATGCAACTTGCCACTTAAAAACAGAAGCGTGAACGTTGAATAATTGGAACTGGAAGCATAATTAATCATACTTAATAAGAATAAAGGCTTATTATTGCTCGTATGAAAAGGTATATGTGCTATAAATTAAAATATTCTTTTGCACTAAATATTGTGATGTTTTTCATTAGCGGAGTATTGGGAGTGATTCTCATGGCAGAGCCACAGCTGCAAACAATCAGCGACCACCTGTTGAAAATAGAAAACCATTCAACTTTCTCCAGCAACAAATCAACAGCAACAAAAGCAAAGAACTTGATGTAAATCCACAAAGAAGAGAAGCTAAGCTGCCTACATCAAGGATGGATTTGTTTGCATCCATAAGCAAAGATCTGTTGCCCAGTGATCAGGTCTCACTTAGAGATGATCAAGGAGAATCTGAAATAGAGAGTAGTCAGGTGAGATATCTAAATTTCCAGTTATGTTTTGATGGGTTAGAGTAAAATAATAATTCTTAGTGGTTTGGAGGGTGGAAAAATGGATCCAAATAATTAAGTATTTGAATTGAACATTACTAGTTTTCTTCAATTGGATGCCTTAAAGTTATCGGTGTTCATAATGAGGCAAAAAGAAAGAAATGTCAAATAGTAGAAGGCATCAGTCTCTGGTGAGAAGGGAAAAAGTCTAAAGGAGATGTGTGAGGAAAGTTTTTTTTACACCGAGGGTAGTAGGTGTCTGGTATGAGCTGCCGGGAAGGTAGTAGTAGTGTTAACCAAGTTTGAGACATTAAGACGGACATGAAAAGGCAGGCAGTAGTGGGATATGGACTACGTGCCGACAGATGGAATTAGTTTAGAATGGCATTGTGGTCGGCACGGGTATGGTGGTACGAACAGCCTGCTCATGTGCTGTATTGTTCTATGTTCTAAAAAGGTAATCTTCTTACACCATTCCCTTCCCAGTATATCATTTAATAGCTTGGTGCTTTGTTTAATATAGCAAATAATTGATTCAGAATTTGTAAAGCGTTGATCCGCTAATATCTTTCTCCATGTAAAGTTACTTTACGTTGTATCCTACATTTCTGCTGGCATCCTATTTGTTCATAGTGAATGGTGCTAGAGTGATATTGTCTTGTCTCAACTGTTGATATGATTATATCAAAAATTATGCTTGGTCTCAATGATTTTTGTCTTCACAATGCCAAACCCTTTTACTCTTAAGAATTACTGAATTTATATTCATCCAGAATTCATGCAAAAATATGACTTCATTTACTTTACCTGATCTCTTCGAACATTTAAAGTAACCTTGCAACAAGGTATTCGATCAGCTGTGAACTTTTGAGTGAAGGTTACACAATGTAAGTTCATTTGTATGTGTTGGACAAACCTCAGCACTTTGAACTGAGTGAGAAAACTATAGCTTGAGCAAAAGTCTAGCCACTTGAATAGAGCACTGAGGAAACACTACACTCAGCTGTAGTTTCAGGTGAAACATCAAACTGTGCCATAGTCTCCCCTGTTGAGGTGAATGTAATCTATTATTAGACACAAGTCAAAGAGCAAAGAGCTTTGAGTGTCCAAACCAACATTTTAACTCTCAAATAACCAGATTTAAAAAGGAAACTCATGTCACTCATCTCATTTGTCAGCCATGTTGCTCTAAAGTGCATCATGACCACACTTCAAAAGTACTTCATTAGCTGTTAAGCTTGAGTCATCCTAACGTTGTGAAAAGTACTGTATAAATGCACGTTCTTTCTTTAAACAGTTTCTGAAATTACTTCAAAAAAGATTTCCTTCCTGTCATGTTTTTTGGGACTATGGAGATTGCAGTTCAATGCTTTCATCCATTGGAATCGGATCTTCTTTCTCACGCTATGTCTTTTTTTTTGAAAATTACAAATTAAGGTCACTAGCATCCTTGGGCGACTGTCTGTGTGGAGTTTGCCCTTTCTTCCCATGTCTGCGTGGGTTTCTGCTGGGGTTTCCTCCCACAGTCCAAAGATGTGCGGGTTAGGTGGATGGGCCATGCTAAATTGCCCATAGTGTCCAGGAGTGTGTAAGTTAGGTGGATTAGCTATGGAAAATGTAGGGTTACAGGGAAAGGGTAGGGGGATGGGTCTGGGTGGGATGGCGGTGTGGACTAGTTGGGCCGAATGGCCTGTTTCCACACCGTCAGGATTCTACGATCTGCCACTCATTCTGACAGACAGTTGGCTAAGCAACTAAAATAATTCTTTAACTTTGTAATGCATTTTGACACTGTGCTTATGATGCCTCAAATGTGCACTAAAATAGTGCACTCCTGCCTTGCTCCACTACAATTCACCTACCGTCACAATAAATCATGGCAGATGCCATCTCCCTGGCCCTACACTCATCTTGGAACATCTGGATATCAAGGATGTTGGTGTAAGACTCCTATTTATTAAGTTTAGTTCCGCCTTGAACACCATAATTCCAACCAAACTCGTCTCCGAACTCCGAGACCGAGGCGTCTGCTCCCCCCTGCAACTGGATCCTTGACTTCCTGACCGGCACACTGCAACCGGTAAGGATAGGCAACAGCACCACCTACACAATAATTCTCAATACCCGTGCCCCATAAGGCTATGTACTCAGCCCCTTACTATAGTCCTTATACATTCAAGACTGTCTGCCAAATTCAACCCTGACACCATTTACAAATTTGCTGGTGACACCGCCTTAGTGGGTTGGATCTCAAACAATGACGAGACAGAGTACAGGAAGGCGATAGACAGCTTAATGGCATGGTGTAAAGACAACAGTTTCCCTCAGTGTCAGCAAAATGAAGGAGCTTTTCATCGACTTCCAGAAGTGGAGTGGAGGATATGCCCCGTCTGTATCAATGTTGCTGAGGTGGAGGTGGTCGACAGCATCAAGCTCATAGGAGTCAGTATCACCAATGGCCACGTTGATGCTACAGTCAAGAAAGCACATCAATGCCTCTACTGCTTCAGAAGGCCAAGGAAATTCAGCATGTCCACAATGACTCTTATTAATTTTTATAGATGTACCATAGAAAGCATCCTATCAGGAAGCATCACAGCTTGGTATGGCAACTCCTGTGCCCAAGAATGCATGTAATTCCAGAGAGTTGTGAATGCTATCAGTTTATCATGAAAACCAGCCTTCCTTCCATTGACTCTGCCTATGCTTCTCACTTCCCTGGGAAGCAGCCAACAAAGTCCAAGACCCCTCCCACCCTGGTTAAACTTTCTTCCACCCTCTTTCATCAGGCAGAAAATACAAAAGTTTGAAAACACATACCAACAAATTCAATCACAGCTCCTTCCCTGAAGGTATCAGACTTGTGAATAGACCTCTCATATAATGGAGTTGAATTTTCTCTACACCTTCTCTGTAGCCGTAACATTATATTCTGCATTCTGTCTGTTACTCTGATGTATTATGTAAGGTATGGTTTGTCTGGTAAGCACGCAAAACAATACTTTTCATTATCTTGTTGCATGTGACAATAATAAATCAAATCAATTAGAAATTTTTTTTATTTCACAGACTGCATATATTTGTTTTGATTAATAGGTTGTGAGCAGACTTATCCAGATTCGGGATTACATTAGCAAGGCTCATTCTATGCGGGATGACCTTATGGAAAAAAATGAAAGATCAGCTAATGTTGAACGTTTGTCTGAGCTGATAGACCATTTAAAAGAACAAGAAAAATCCTACATGAAATTTTTACAAAAAATGCTGGTATGTTTTACAACTTAGGGAATTTTTAGTAGTAAAATGTAGTATTTCTGGCTTATCTGCATAATTATGTGCAGCTTGATTTCATATACCATAACCTATAGTCCCTGAGGTTTGTACTCAACTTTTTCTACTGGTCTTCTGCCCCCACCAGTTCTCTCTTCTCTCTTGGAGGAGTTGATTTATGCTTTTTGATTCTGAGTGTAATTTCAGGCAACCAAATGCTGACATCAGGTGACAAATGGCAAGGTCTCAGCTGACCGTTTGCAAGTGGAGCGCATTGGAGCCAAATTTGATGATGTTTCCATTGGATGAATGTTGCTAGAAAGTTTTCAGGAAATGTGGCCTCCTTTATAATGTAGATTTGCTTCATAAAATCATTCCGGAGGAAATTACAGTCCATAGATGCAAATGCAACATGCTCTACCATGTTGGTAGTAAAGAAATCTCATTTTTATTGAAACACTCGAGACTCTTAACAGGGCTTGACGGCGTAGGTGCTAAATAGTTGTTGCCTCTTGTGGGAGAGTCTAGGACCAGAGGACATAATTTCAGAATAAGGAGTCAGCTTTTCAGGCAAAGTTGGGGAGGAATTTTTTTCTCTGCAGATCAGGAATCTTTTGAATTCTTATCTGCAGAAAGCTATTGAGGTTGGGTCATTAAATTTATTCATTGCTAAGATTGACAGATTTCTAATCATTCATGAAATCCAGTACTAGAGTCTAAGGCAGGAAAGTGGAGTTGAGGATTATCAGATCAGCCTTGATCTCATTGAAAGGCGGAGAGACTTGATGGGCCAAATGGCCGCCTTGTGCTCCTGTATCTTACGATGTCATCTTTCTCTCTTACTCTCACACTCTTTACCCCCCCCCCCTGTGTGTGTGTGTGTGTGTGTGTGTGTGTGTGTGTGTGTGTGTGTGTGTGTATATGTATAAATTTGTTAATGAAACACTGCTAACGTCTACGTGGTAAAATCTTCATCTTCACGGAGGATTACTGTGTGATTTTCCTTTTTTTAAACAAATTGTTTTTAGATGACAAAAGAAGCCTTTGTTAAAAATCTTTTCACCCCCATTACTGCTGATTGAGCATTTTATCCACACAAACCCAACTCTGCTAGTTGATATAACAAGGTGTAGAGCTTAAAGGCGTAGAAATTAAAGGTCTAATGCATCTTGACTTTTTCGTTAAAGTCCATGCATCATATGCAAGATTCAATTTATGGAATTTTCATCTATTTACATATTTTGTAAGAATTTTCTTGTAATCCATGTACTCTGTTTATCATTTGTTGAGTGATAAGAAATCATTTCAAACAGTTGGTAATCCCATTTAAGATCACTGATTGTAGATTCCCAGTGGCTTATTGTGCAGTCTCGACATCATGTAAGTTTTATTTTTATTAATTCATTTTGTGGGATGTGGGCATCGCTGGCTGGGCAGCATTTATTGCCCGGTCCCTAGTTGCCCTTGAGAAGGTGGTGGTGAGCTGCCTTCTTGAACCGCTGCAGTCCTCATGCTGTGGGTTGGCCCACAATGCTATTAGGGAGGGAATTCCAGGATTTTGACCCAGCAACAGTGAAGGAACTGCAATATATTTACAAGTCAGGCTGTTGAGTGGCTTGGAGGGAAACTTGAAGGTGGTGGTGTTCCCGTGTATTTGCTGCCCTTGTCCTGTTTAGATGGAAATGATTGTGGGTTTGGAAGGTGCTATCTGAGGATCTTTGGTAAATTTCATGACTGGGTGATGGGAACGAAGTGGGGTTGTGCATGAAATGATTTGACTGTGTTGCATTTTTGGGGATTCATAGTTACACAGCACGAAAACAGATCCGTCGGTCTAACTTGTCCATGCCGACCAGGTTTCCCAAACTGAACTATTCCCATTTGCCTGCATTTGGTCCATGTCCCTCTAAACTTTTCCTATTCGTGTACCTGCCCTAATGTCTTTTAAATGTGGTAACTGTACCTGTATCTACTACTTCCTCCGGCATTTCCTTCCATTTACAAACCACGCACTGTGTGGAAAAAGTTGCCCGTCAGGTCCCTTTTTAATTTTTTCTCCTCTGACCTTAAAATTATGCCCCTAGTTTTGAACTCCCCTACCCTAGGGAAATGACCTTTGTTATTCACTTCATCTATGCCCCTCACGATTTTATAAACCTCTATAAGGTCACCCCTGAACTGCTTACGCTGCAGTGAAAAATATCCCAGCCTCTCCATACTGTCCTTATAAAACTCTCCAGTCTGTGTCACATCCTTGTAGATCTTTTTTCATCCTCTCCAATTTAATAATATCGTTCCTGTTTGTGGAACTCAGAATTAAGAAGGTGGGTTTTAACTTTACAAACATCGACTGAGACTGCCATTTTGTTAAATCTTGGATGGTGAGGAATTTGTTAAATGTGTTAAGAAAATTTTCTTGTCAATATGTGGATTGCCTACTAGAAAAGGACCAAAATGTGACCTCCTCTTGGGAAATAAGGTAGGGCAAGCGACTGAAATGTTAGTGGGGGAGCACTTTGGGACAGGTGATCATAGTTCTGTTAGTTTTAAATAGCTATGGGAAGGGATAGGCCTTGTATAAAAGTTAAAGTTCTAAATTGCATTAAGGCCAATTTTGACGGTATAAGATCAGGAACTTTGAAAAATTGATTGGGGTAGACTGTTCACCGGTAAAGGGACGACTGGCAAATGGGAGACTTTCAAAAGTGAAATCGCGAGAGTTCGGAGTGAAGGGTAAGGCTGGTAGGATTAGGGAACAGTGGATGAATAGAGATGTAAAGGCTGTAGTCAAGAATAAAGAGGAGGAAGATGTGAGGTGTAGACAACTGGGATCACGTGAATCTCTTGAAGCGTATAATGGTTGTAGGGGCATTCTTAAGAAGTAAGTCAGGAGGGCAAAAAGAGGATATGAGAGCGCCTTGGCAGGTGTAGTGATTGGAACCAGGTCGATATTGTTGACTGGGATCCCTGAATGGGCTTGTTAACCTGGGCCAATCAGGAAGTCCTGGTTGACCAACATAAACAGGGGATTCAGAATCTCCTCAGTTTGGGGGACTGACTCTGCACTGGCTGGCCACAGCCGTTGTTCTGTGCACAAGTAAATAAAGTGTGACTTGACAACGGGATTTCTGCAGATATTCAGCACATGAGGTGAAGGATAATTTAAAGAGATTGTGCAAGTACATTAAGGGCAAAAGAGCAACTAGGGAGAAAATAGGGCCGCTTAAAGATTAACGAGGTTGTCTATGCGTGGAATCACCAGAGATGGGAGATTCAATCTTGCGTGATTTGGTCCTGCCTAATGACTCAACTAAATGATTGTCCCTTCCAAGTGCATTATGTCCCCTTAATAATGACAGTTCAATAAAGTCACATCATTTGCACATTTTTAGTAGAAGAAGAGGTATGACCATATTATTCAAACATTAATTATGATGGTTAAAATATTATAGTGCCTAATTCAGTGAGGATCCTCACTTGTGGTGTTATCTAAATGGATGTATTGGGACTTAATTTGTGTAGAACACTTGGTTGCCAATTATATAGAGGGTAGGATTATAGTATTACATTTTGGATTGTTCCAACAAAGAACTCAGGCAGACGTGATCACAAAAGACCACTTTCTGTGTTGTAATTATTATGGCTTGCAGGAGGATATGGTCTGCTCAAACGCAGGCAAGAGGAACTAGTTTAGTTTGGGAAACTTGGTCAGCATGGTTGAGTTGGACTGAAGGATCTGTTTCCGTGCTGTATGACTGATTGAATGTTATAGTACACGTTTAGTATGGACTAAATGTCCATATGATGTTTATTTATGATGTTCAGCTAATGTGATTTTTTTTCTAAAAATTGTTTCAGGCTAGAGAGAATGAGGAGGATGATGTTGGCACAACAGACTCTGCTGTGGGATCTGGTTCTGTTGCTGATAGTACATCGCTAAATCTAGATGTTCAATCTGAGGCATCAGATGCAACGGTAAGATGAAAGTCATATAGGATATATGCAAATACTAAGTACAGTTGATTTTATAAGATGGATTTTATAACACATTTGCAGTCTACTGTGGACAGAAAATTTTGGAGATAGATTGTACTGAATTTTATCCTCACACCGCTTTTATTAAAAGAAGTGTGTTAAAGTGAGAGCAGATTTTGTTTAAAAGTTGCTTATCTTGGGTTTCATGAGCATTTTAATCATAAATGTCTTAACTAAACTGTTTAATAAAGGAGGCATCTCGTAGTCTGAGTGTTCGGCCCTGCATTGAGGACAAGCTAGGAAATGCAGCCTCCCAAGCACAGGGCTCTTCAGTTACTTCAACTCCAAAAAGGGAAACTGACAGGCTTGGTCTGAAAGACAGGAGAGTCTGGCATAGTGGGATTAATGGCAAGGAGCATGGAATTTCCTGCAAGGTACCATTTCATTGCATAGTCCTTGAAACATGTAATCTATTGATTTTCAAGTCTTGTTCTGCTGATCCTTTATAATTTTAATTTGATTCCATTATTTGGGTGATTTTTATTATTGGCAGTCGTTCAAATGCATGTAAGAGTTGTATCTGAATTAGTTACAATTATTTTATTTGAGGTTGAAACGCTAATTGAAAGTTAGCTGGTACTATGAAAACAATCATGGAGCCTTAATTTATGTCTGAAACACGAGAAATGCTTTTTAAGACTTGTAGTCAAGTGTTTCAAGTCTAATCAATTGACCAATTCATCGAAACAAAAGATTATACTTGAGTCTTGTCAACTTAAAAGTACTTCCTTTTGCCCTTTTCTCACTGCCACACCTTACTCCCAACAGGGTTTTCTGAGATTTTATGCCCGATTAGGATGTTAAGTTTCAATCTGCAGCTTCCCTATTCAGGCAGCTGGTCCATTCACGTCAGTGATTGTTGGTCAAGTAACAAATGAAAGTACTTCTTGTAAAAGTTTGTATTACTTTTTACAAAGCATATTAAGATAGAACCTATCATACTAGATACAGGGCATATTGTTTGGTGATAGCAAGTAGAAAGGAAGTTCTGAGACCATGTCCCCATATGTAGGGTATTAACTTTGTGTTGCTATGTGGGAAATTTTTATTACATTCCAAGGATTAGGAGAACCAACACATTAAAAGTTATCCACTATTGAAACTCTTAACATCTGAAGAATTGTGCATAAGTTTCATACAAATTGTAAATCTTGATTGGTGGCCTCATTGTAGGCTAATTTAGATGGATGAATTAAGACACTTTGAAACCTTGATGTTGTTTTGATCTTTTGTGGGGAAGATAGACATAAGTATCCTATTTAATTTTGCATTTCTGTGCCTCAGCATCCTAAATCATGGTAGAATCTTCCACCAGTCAAATTTGAGTTTGTTGGTGTAGCTACAACCTCCAGCATGTAAACTGGATAAGTAGAAGTGTATTATAGGTTTTTCTGTAATTCTGAAAAGAACCCCTCAAACTGAGATATCTTTGCGACAAGTAGGTTGAGGAAAAACTGAGGGAAGATGAGGATGATAAAGATGAGGTTATAAAGGGCCAAGGACCATGTTGAAATACTAAATTTAAATTTGACAATGTACTGTATGATCTTAATTTTAGGAAACCATTTCTATAACTAGGGTTACAACTTGGAAAACCTTCGTGCTGCTGTAACTCTTGATGCTTTGTTTAGCACAATGTTGAATAAGTCAATGTACTTCAGTATGATATTAGACATTGAGATAAATTTAGTTCATCAAGTTTGTAGTTGAAGAAGAGGCTGGTGGGTCAGTGGTGATGGTGGGTGTGCTGATACAAACAGCAATATAATTATTTTCTTGGGCTTCAAAAATTGTAAGGGCATATTTTAGCCCATCTGAAATGTGTTGATGTGGAACAAAGTGTGTTTGCTGTTTATGGCCTGGATCTTTACACCACCAAACTGGGAATTGGATCATTTATGAAAATCTCCTTGTTTAAAGCATGATGACTCTTATTTTCCCATTTGAATTCCAACTTTGAGTTGCCTAGCAGGTGGAACGTTTTACCAAAAAAAGCCAATGGTAATTAAGCAAGGTTGCTTGTTGAGCTGCTCAGATTTATGACATGTGAAAGACTTGTGTTTGCATTCCGAGCTACCTGTTCACAGTGCAAGCATGATTCTGCATTAGGATTCATCAAAGCAATCCTAATGGCTACCCTGATCAGTGAATTTCTCACTGTATATTGTGCAAGTTAATGAATGACCCTGAAGCAGCCTCTTTTGGTCCTCGAAAATCCCTAGACTACCTCGGATTAAGGTATCATAAAGGTTTGAACAACAGGCAAAACAGTTTCATGCTGCTACCATACAGCAGCAACGAGAGTGATGGTTGCCCCTAACAGGAAGCCATCATCAAGCCAAAAAGACAGTGAGCCTGTTGCACAGATGAATAAGCCTCTTTTTAAATTCAGTGCAGGTATTATTCCAGCTGGGTTGGTTGTATGTCTCAAAGACTGGCAGAATGCATTCAAAAGTATATTGCTTCGGTTGTTTCCAACAAGCAAGAGACTGACCCAACCTAACCAATCTATACTTACAAAACTTACAACAGGATTTTTATTCAATCAGAGTAGTTCGGCCTTACTGACTAGTTCAGCATTTATTGCCTTTCCTATGGTACTGGAAATGACAAATGAAAACTTAGCCCTGTCAACCCTGCAAAATCCTCTCTCCCAACATCTGGTAGAGTGCAAAATAGGAGAGCAGTCTCCTAGCCGACTTAAGCAACAGCCTGACATAGTCATTCTCATGGAATCATACCTTAAGCATAATGTCCCAGACAGCAACATCACCATATCTGGGTATGACAAGTCACATTACCAGGGGCGACCCAGCAGTGGTGACAGCACACTGATATTCACATGGAATAGGCTGACGTGGGAGTCCCCAAGATTGACTCCAAATCCCATCCTCAGAGGAAAACCAGTGGAAATTGTGCCCCCGATCCTCAATGATTCTAGTTTTGCTCCGGCTCCTTGATGCCATGCTCAGTCAATAGCAGCTTTGATGTCAAGGACAGACACTCTTTCTTCCCCATTCGAGTCCAGCTCTTTTTACCATGGTTGAACCAGGTTGTAATGAGGTCGGGAGCTGAGTGACACTGGTGGAACCCAAATTGTCTGCCAGTGAGTAGATTAGAGCTGTGCAAGTATGGCCTGATAGCACTGTTGATGACTAATTTCATTACCGTACTGATGATTACGAGGACACTGATGGAGTGATTGTTGGCTATGTTGGATTTATCCTGCTTTCTGTCTACAAGACACACCTGGGCAATTTTTCACATTGCAAGGTAGATGTAAGTGTAATTGTTGTATTGGAACAACTTGGCTAGGGGTTCAACAATTTCTGGAGCATAAATCCTCAGTTCTGTTGCTGGAATGTTGTTATAGCCCAAAGCCTTAGCAATATCTGGTGCCTTCAGCCATTTTTTGTCATGTGGAGTGAATTCAATTGGCTGAGGTCTGTGATACTGCAGACATTCAAAGGAGGCCACTGGAGGATCATTCGGTATTTCTGGATGAACATGGTTGTAAATTATTAGTCTTGTCTTTTGCACTGGCATACTGGGCTCTTCCATCATTGGTTGTCAGAATATTTGTGGGCGTCTCCAGTGAGTTATTTCTTCGTCCATCGTCATTTATGTATGAATGTGTCAGGAATGTAGAGCTTAGATCTGATCCATTCGTTGTGGAATTGCTTAGCTCTGTCTGTCACCTGCTGCTTCTGCTGTTTGGCATTTGAGTAGTCCTGTTTTGTAGCTTCACCAAGATGACATCTTATTTTTAGGTATGGACAGAGAGAACATGTACAGCACTGTGCCTGTTTCAGCTCAAGCCAAAAGTAGGTAACAGCCATTTTCTGTTTAATTTCTTAGGGCATTGCTTTGGCCAATCAGAGTCGATCTACCTGGCTTAAACTTTAAACAAGCTTGACTGTCAGCTGTTGATCAGCATTAACTGGTGTGTTCTCCCATGCTGATAGCTTTATCGATTAGAATTCCCCTCTCAATCAGTGTAAATATTGATTTCCCCTTCGAATTAGTATTCTTGCGTCTCTCCTGATGAATGCAATTCGGAAAACTTCGACAAAATGTGTCCTCCTTCTGCAGTACTTGACTCCTGTGATACAAAGTACTATATTTGCATTTCTTCCATGTTGAATTGAGAAGCTTCTTTGCTGTTCAGTTCTCATTGTCAATTGTGTATTACAGTCACTGCAGAGATCCTTCCCACTATCTCAAAAAAAACCCATGACCTAATAATTGATTTCTTGATATTAGGATTACAAATGCACAGTACCTGGGCATAAATCTAATTTTATTTGGAGGTGAAATAATTTATCAATAGACCCAGATGTGAAATATTCAGTTAATAGTATAACAGTGTAATAGTTCCGTATAAAAGAGTTTATGATCTTATCTGAGACAGCAAGAACTGCAGGTGCTGGAGTCAGAGTCAACACAATGTGGAGCTGGAGGAACACAGCAGGTCAGGCACCATCAGAGGAACAGGAAAGTCGACATTTTGGGTCGGGTCCCTTCATCAAAACTGGTGAGGGGAAATAAATGGAGGGAAGAGGGGTGGGGCTGGGGCAAGGTAGGATCTGTATGGGTCCGAGATATGCCCGCCTCTTCGTAGGATACATAGAACAATTCTTCTTCCGCTGTCACATCGGCACCATCCCTCACCTCTTCTTCTGCTACATTGATGACTGTATCGGCGCTGCAGCTTGAACAGTTCATCAACTTTACTAACTCCTTTCACCCCAATGTCAAATTCATCTGGACCACTTCCGATACCTCCCTCTCCTTCCTGGACCTCTCCGTCTCCATCTCTGGTAACTGTCTCAACACTGACGTCTCCTTCAGACTTAGCAACTCCCATAGCTACCTGGACTACACCTCCTGTCACCCACCCTCCTGCGAGAATGTGATTCCTTACTCCCAATTCCTCTGCCTCTGCTGCATCTGCTCCCAAGATGGAGTGTTCCACTCCCGGACATCCCAGATGTCCTCCTTTTCAAGGACCGCAACCCCCTCCCAATCTGGTGATCAAAAATGCCCTCGACTGCATCCCTTGCATTCCTGCCCTCAAACCCCCTCCTTCCAACAAAAATAAAGATTTACTCCCCCGGTCTTCACATATCACCCTGTCAACCTCTGCATCCAGCGTATCATCCTCCACCACTTCCAACAACTGCAATCTGACCCCACGAACAAAGGGATATTTCCCTCCCCAACCCTATCTGCCTTTTGTAGGAACTGCTCACTCCGCAACTCCCTCGCCTGCTCCACACCACACTGCACCTGGCACCTTTCTCTACAACCGCAAGAGGTGCTACGCCTGCCCCTACTCCTCCCCAAACAATCTTTCCAAATCTGACAGGGATTCAGCTGTATGATTCACCTAGTCTACTGTATCCATTGCTCCCTTTTCCTTGCCCAGTTCTGGCTCTCCCTCTCTATATCCAACAGGGGTTCACCTGTACATCCTCTAACCTGGTCTATTGTATCCGTTGCTCCCGATGTGGCCTCCTTTACATCAGCGAGACCAAGCACAGACTCGGAGACCGATTCATGGAGCATCTGCACTCGGCACACAATAATCAACAACTCCTTCTGGCCACTAACCATTTAACTCCCTGCCACTCCCTTGATGACATGTTGATTCTGGGCCTGCCCTAGTGTCACAATGACGCCACACGCAAACTGGAGGAGCAACACCTTATATTCCGCCTCGGGAGCCTATCTGATGGCCTGAACATAGAATTCAGCAGTTTTAAAATCTCCCCATCCCCGGCCTCAACCCGCTTCCAACCCTCCCGCTTACCCCCGCCTCCTTGACCTGACACAACCTGTCCATCTTCCTTCCCACCTATCCGGCCCACCCTTCCCACTACAACTTATCTGCATTCACCTATCACCGTCCCACTTACCTTCCACCAGCCCCATCCCTCCTCTGTATTTATTTCCCAGCTCCCTTCGCCCCCTCCGCAGTTCTGATGAGGGGTCCTGACCCGAAACGTCGAATTTCCTGTTCCTCTGATGCTGCCTGATTTGCTGTGTTCCTCCAGCTCCACATTGTGTTGATTTTGATCATATCTGTCTGTTAGTGGATAGTATCTCAGTAGCACCTTTGGTTATTAAATAAGGTATGGATCAAGCAAGGTAAATTTTCCCTTCAAGAAATACTTGTTTCCACAACACCATATAGTGAGTGAGTGTTTCTCCCTTGCTGGAAAGTCTGGTTTTAGGCTGAAGTTCCAGTCACTTTGGATGGAGATAAGAACAGTTTTTTTTTCGCTCACATGGTTATGAATCATTGAAATTCTCAGTTCTGGATTTCAGAGGATACTTGGCTAGGTATATTTAAAACATCAATTGATTTTTAGTTATGAGGTTGATCGAGGGATTTTGGGGTGGACAGGGCAAAGTTTTGTTGGTATAGATGAACCATGGTATTATTGAATTTCAGTATTTGCAGCTCTGCAACCTATGTTTGATCCTAATTGTTGTGTAATTTGCACGGTGCAGCTACTCACATGTTTTTGGAAAACTGACTGTCCAGTCTGGCATTCTTGAGAAAACGTTTGTGTTTTGATTAAATTCCATTTCTGCAAGTTCTGGTGGGCTTCCAAAAAAAACAAACAATGGACAGTACACTGATAAGTTCCATAATTCCACAAAGTTATTCTTCAATGTTTTATGAGTCACGGTTGCAATTAGCAACAAAGTGATGAGCATGCAAAGAGGCTGTAAAGAGCGAATACACCCACAGCAAACAATTAGACAGGCAGATGACATTATGGTTTTTATTGCAAGGGTATTGGAGTTCCTGAAGAAACAGATCTCGATTTTACAAAGCTTAATGTGAGATCATTCTTGAAGTATAGTGTTTAGTTTTGGTCTCCATCATTTAAGAAAGATGTACACAGACTGTAGGTGTTACAGATAATATTCACAAAATTGGTTCCTGAGATGAAAAGTGAGTAGATTTTCCCATACTCCCTGAACCTCAGGAAAACAACAGGTGATCTCATTGAAAAAAGAAATGAAGGGATTTAATAAGGTAGGAGCTACTTCTTGAATGATTGGAATTAGCAAAAAACTGGCTCCTTTGATCTAAGAGATCTCGGATGGGCGCTGAAATAAGTTGTCTACTTGGCACTTCTCTGAATGATAGCTGCAAACGCTTTGTGTTTTATGTTCATGCTAGGCTCTACCATTATTGAGAATTGAAGTGTTTATGGAGCTAACTATTTCATAGAGCCTACCGGGGTGGTATTATAGCTCGGTGGTTATCTCTGCTGCCTCTCAGCACCAGGGACCCGCTTCAATTCCAGCCTCGGGTGACTGACTGTGTGGAGTTTGCATATTCTCCACATGTTTGCATGGATTTCCTTTGGGTGCTTCGGTTTTCTCCCATAGTTCAAAAATATGCAGGTTAGGTTCGCCATGCTAAATGTCCAGGGATATGAAGTTTAAGTGGAGTAGCCATGGTAAATGCAAGGTGACGGGGACAGGATGGGGTTGGGAGTTCTTTAAAGGGTTGGTGTAGACTTAATGAGCCGAATGGCTTCTGTCTGCACTGTAGGGATTCTATGTTCTATTCTATTGTTCTACTTTGAAGTGAATTAATAGAACATACATGTCGCTGGTAAGGTCAGTATTTATTATCCATCCCTTAATTGCCCTTAACATAGGCTTACTAGGCTATTTCAAATTTCAGTTAGTAATCACCCACATTGGTGTGGAGTTGGAATTACCTATTGGCCAAACAGGAGATCTCTCTGGCAAAAGTACATCAATGAACCAGCTATGACAAGCAGGCAATTATGTGGTCACTAGTGATGCAGGGTGTGAATGTTTAAGGTGATGGCTGGGATGCCAATTAGGCATTAGGCCTGAACTTGTGAAGAAAAGTCACTGGACCTGAAACATTAATTCCACTTTCTCTCCACAGCTGCTGCCATAGCTGCTGAGTTTTTCCAGCAATTTCTGATTTTGTTTCTGATTCCAGCACTCTCAGTTGTTTGATTCTTTTGTTAAACGTTAAGTAGGGATGAGCATCTGGAGTGTCAGAGCTGAACTCATTCAGGCACTAGATGACACTGATACTGGACTTGAATTCAGACTTAGGAACAGAATTTAAATTCTTCACCTTCCATAGTGGAATTTGAACTTGTTTTTTTTTGGGAGTTCAGGAATTTTACACTGGATTACCAGTTCAGCAACATAACCACAATGGTGCCATTTTCACTACCAATTATTTCTTGAATAGTTCACCAGAATTTGCGTCAGAACGAGGAAAGGTAGGATATGGTAGAGTTTTGATCTGATCCACTGGTTGTAGGATTAGTGTACATGCATCCCCAGTTTATTTTTTGTTCACCATGTAACAATGTATAATCCTCTATTGCTTCCTTCCATTCTTCCTGTCTTATTTCCTAAAATTTATCAGCTTCCATTTTAAAATTAACAATTGATGTTTTGTCAATCGCTATTTGAGGAAGAAGGTGCCAAACTGCTCTCACACCTGGTGTGAGGAAGTGTTTCTAAAATCTTAGACTAATTTGTGGACCATGCCCTAACTCCTGGACGCCTCAAATGGGAAGGCTAGGTGAGGGGAAACTGTTCTCCTTAATATTTTACATTTCAGTCATATCACAACCCACCACTTTTTGATGTGCCCATATTGTGTGCATAGCGGCCTGCAAAGGACGGTTAGCGTTTCACCTAGTAGAGTTATATGTTGAGACTTCATACTTGTTTACAGGTGGTTAGTATTTATTTATTCATAATGAAATGGTAGATCTTGTTGAGGACAGAAACCTAGGCAGCGTTTT